GAGATTTACTAGGCTGATTCCTGGGTTAAGGGTTGACTTATCCAGCCTTTATTGATTAGAATTTAGATGAATGAGGGGTGATATTATCGAAACATACAAGATTCTGAGGGAGCCTGGCAGAGTAGACATTCAGATGATGTTTAACGAGTGGGAGAATCTCAAACAAGGAGACATAGTTACTGACTAAGGAGACACTCATTTAAAATTGAGATGCAGATGAATTTCTTCTGCTCGATGAATGAATGGAATTCTTTATGTCAGAAAGCTGTGGAGGCTCGATTGCTAAAAGGATTTAAAGAGGAAGTAGGTAGATTTTTGAAATATTGAAGCATTGAGGGCTATGAGGGGCTGGTGTGAAAGAGGAGTTGACATCTGGGGCAAATCTTGCAGATGGTGGTGTCCCAAACTACTGCTGACCTTGTCCTTCAAAGTAATGAAGGTCGTGAGTTTGCAATGTCCAATCAAAGGAGCCCTAGTGAGTTGCCGCAATGCATCCTATAGATGGCATACCATGCATCAATGGTGCAGGAAGTGAATATTGATGGCAATGGATGTAGTGCCAATCAACCAGATTTGCATTGTCCTGGTTGATATCAAACTTCTTGAGTGTTCCATCACACTCCTGACTTGCGCCTTGTAGATGGTGGACAGGCTTTGAGAAGTCAGGGAGCATGTTGCACTGCAGAGTTCCTAGCCTCCTGGGACACTTTTCTAAATTAAAGGAGCTATATTAATAAAAGTTCTTCAGATGTTGAATCATACTGGGTTATATAAGCACAACTTGTGCACAACTGAAGTGACCAATTTTATTAAAACACCCAATTGTGTTTAATTTCTTTGCTCCATCTCATTAGAATGCCCTCACTCTGCATAACTACATGAATCAATATGTAGATTTGGATACTTACACTCACATTGAATAAACCAACAAAGAAACACAGTCTCAAACTATCAACGCAATCAATATTTCACATCTTAATCCAGCTGCAAATCCCATCCAAAAACAAGAGAAACTGGACTGGCTACAATGTCTAAATGTTTCTTTCCTTCTAACTCCCTCAGCTTCGCTGGGACAAAATTCTGGAGGTCTCTTCCTGAAAGCATTGTGGGAAGCCCTACAATAAATGGACTGCAGTGGTTCAAGAAGGCAGCTCACCACCACCTTCTCAAGGGCAACTAGGGATTAGCAATAAATGTTAGCCCAGCCAGTGACACCCATCCTATGAATAAAAAAACCCCACATTAATAGAGCTCTTTGGGGGAGTTTTCTAGAGAGGGGATGGTACAAGGACTACACTGTAAAAAGATATGGCAGGATTGTAGGGCAGCTGTTTAAGTAATGATTACCCAATGTGGAACAGGACAGAATTGAATGTATAAACATAAACAAAAGTAACAAATAAGTTCAAAAGTGGGAAAATAGTGAAAAGGTAAGTTAATTCCTCTTTATTTAAATGCATGTAGTATTTGCAACAAAATAAATGAATTAAGCTACTTGCCTGCAGATTGGTGACCTGAGTCTTTATTGATGGTGTCATAAACTGAATGCAATATGCCTTGTTTTTATTCATTCATGGGATGCAGTTTTCGGTGGCTGAGCATACAATATGTAACTGTGGATACTTTATTAAGGTCTTAGAATTGTTTCTCCATGAGATAATTATACAATCATGAAGTGAATAATACTGTAAATTTTGGATTGGATACTTTTAATACTGAATAATGTTTTCATTGAAACCCATACCATCTCTAATCAACATTAACATCAACTATCAATCAGTGGGTTAGCACTGCTGCCTCACAGCACCAGGGACCCGGGTTTGACTCCAGCCTCGGACGACTGTCTGTGTGGAGTTTGCACATTCTCCCCGTGTCTGCGTGGGTTTCCTCCGGGTGCTCCGGTTTCCTCCCACAGTCTGAAAATGTGCAGGTTAGGTGGATTGGTCATGCTAAAAATTTCCCCATGATTTTCAGGTTAGGTGGCTTAGCCATGGCAAATGCAGGGTTATGGGGATAGAGAACGGGGTTGGATCTGCATTTTATTTTATTTATTCATTCATGAGATGTGGGTGTTGCTGGCTGGGCCAGCATTTCTTAGCCATCCCTAGTTGCCCTTGAGAAGGTGCTGGGGAGCTGCCTTCTTGAACTCTGCAGTCCTCCTGCTGTGGGTTGACCCACAATGCCATTAGGGAAGGAATTCCAGGATTTTGACCCAGCGACAGTGAAGGAACGGCAATATATTTCCAAGTCAGGATGGTGAGTGGCTTGGAGGGGAAATTGGAGGTGGTGGCATTCTGCTGCCCTTGTTCTTCTGGATGAAGTGGTCGTGGGTTTGGAAGGTGTTGTCTGAGGATCTTTGATGAATTTCTGCAATGCATCTTGTAGATAGTACACACTGCTGCTACTGAGCGTCGGTGGTGGAGGGAGTGAATGCTTGTGAATGTAGTGCCAATCAAGCGGGCTGCTTTGTCCTGGATGGTGTCGAGCTTCATGAGTGTTGTTAGGGCTGCACTCATCCAGGCAAGTGAGGAGTATTCCATCACACTCCTGACTTGTGCCTTGTAGATGGTGGACAGGCTTTGAGGAGTCAGGAGGTGAGTTACTCGCCACAGTATTCCCAGCTTCTGGCCTGCCGTTGTAACCACTGTGTTTATATGGTGAGTCCAGTTGAGTTTCTGGTCAATAGTAACCCCCAGGATGTTGATATTGTGGGATTCAGTGATGGTAACACCATTGAATGTCAAGCGGTGGTGGGTAGATTGTCTCTTATTGGTGATGGTCATAGCCTGGCATTTGTGTGGCAAGAATGTCACTTACCACTTGTCAGCCCAAGCCTGGATATTGTCCAGATCTTGTTGCATTTGAACATGGACTGCTTCAGTATCTGAGGAGTCATGAATTGTGCTGAACATTTTGCAATCATCGGCGAACATCCCCACTTCTGACCTTATGATAGAGGGAAGGTCATTGATGAAGCAGCTGAAGATGGTTGGGCGTAGGACACTACCCTGAGGAAATCCTGCAGAGATGTCCTGGAGCTGAGATGACTGACCTACAAAAGCCACAACCATCTTCTGATGTGCCAGGTATGACTCCAACCACCGGAGAGTTTGCGCCCCCCCCATACCCATTGATTCCAGTTTTGCTCAGGCATCTTGATGCCACACTGGGTCAAATGCACCTTTGATGTTAAGGGCTGTCACTCTCACCTCACCTGGAATTCAGCTCTTTTGTCCATGTTTGAACCAAGGCTGTAATGAGGTCAGGAGCTGAGTGGCCCTGGCGGAACCCAATCTGGGCGTCACTGAGCAGGTTATTGCTGAGCAGGTGCTGCTTGATAGCGCTGTTAATGACACCTTCCATCACTTTACTACTGATCGAGAGGAGACTGATGGGGCGGTAATTGGTCGGGTTGGATTTGTCCTGCTTTTTATGTACAGGACATACCTGGGTAATATCCCACATTGTTGGGTAGATGCCACTGTTGTAACTGTACTGGAATACTTGGCTAAGGGAGTAGCATGTTCTGGAGCACAAGTCTTCATTAATATTGCCAGAATGTTGTCAGGGCCTGTAGCCTTTGCAGTATCCAGTGTCTCCAACCATTTCTTGATATCATGTGGAGTGAATCAAATTGGCTGAAGACTGGATATGGCAGGACTGCAGAGCTTAGATCTGATCCATTGGTTGTGGGATCGTTTAGCTCTGTCTATCACTTGCTGCTTTCGCTGTTTGGTGACTTCACCAGGTTGATACCTCATCTTCAGGTATGCCTGGTGCTGCTCCTGGCATGCCCTCCTACAGTCTCCATTGAACCAGGGTTGATCCCCTGGCTTGATGGTAATGGTTGAGTGGGGGATATGCCGGGCCATGAGGTTACAGATTGTGCTGGAGTACAATTCTGCTGCTGTTGATGGCCCACAGCGCCTCATGGATGCCCAGTCTTGAGTTGCTAGATCTGTGCGAAGTCTGTCCCATTTAGCACGGTGATAGTGCCACACCACACAATGGAGTTTATTCTCAATGTGAAGGCAGAGCTTCTTTTCCACAAGGACTGTGTGATGGTCTCTCTTACCAATACTGTCATGGACAGATGCAACTGCAGCTGGCAGATTGGTAAGGATGAGGTTGAGTATGTTTTTCCCTCTTTTTGGTTCCCTCACCACCTGCCGCAGACCCAGTCTAGCAGCTATGTCCTTTAGGACGCAACTATCTCAATCAGTAGTACTGCTGCCGAGCCACTCTTGGTGGTGGACATTGAAATCCCCCACCCAGAGTACATTTTGTGCCCTTGCCATCCTCAGTGCTTCCTCTAAGTGTTGTTCAACATGGAGGAATACTGATTCATCAGCTGAGGGAGGACGGTATGTGGTAATCAGCAGGAGGTTTCCTTGCCCATGTTTAACCCAAAGCCATGAGACTTCATGGGGTCCAGAGTCAATGTTGAGGACTCCCAGAGCAACATCCTCCCGACTGTATACCGCTGTGCCGCCCCCTCTGCTGGGTCTGTAGCAGTGGGACATTTCCAGGGATGGTGATGGTGGTGTCTGGGACATTGTCTGTAAGGTATGATTCCGTGAGTATGACTATAATCAGGCTGTTGCTTGACTAGTCTGTGAGACAGCTCTAAACTCCCAGATGTTAGTAAGGGGGACTTTGTGTGGTCAACAGAACCGTTTCTGCCATTGTCTTTCCGATGCCTAGGTCGATCTGGTTTCATTTCCTTGAGACTTTGTAGCGAATGGTACAACTCAGTGGTTTGCTAAGCCATTTCAGAGGACACTTTAGAATCAACCACATTGCTGTGGGTCTGGAATCACATGTAGGCCAGACCAGGTGAGGGTGGCAGATTTATTTTCCTGAAGGATGTTACTGAACCAGGGTGTGATGCTTTTTAGAGGGTTAGTGCAGACTCTGTGGGCTGAATGGCCTCTTTCTGCACTGTAGAGATTCTATGAATATAATCTCAATATTTCACTTTTCTATGATCCCAGGATAAAATGAATGATTTCCAAGAGGATCCTCCTGCTGAGATTATCAGGAACGTTGATTCACTGCAAGCAGTAGGAAAACGTTTCCAGGAATGTATAGACAGTGTTGGAGAACTTCTGGAAGAAAGGGAGAATCTTATCAAAGAATTAAGCTTCATGAAGGAGCCAGTGCATAAAGAGATTGGTAATTTGAGGGCTGAACTCTTGAAGCTTTACCAAACTAAATCAAAGGCAGAGATTGAATGTGATAACTTCAAAGAAGAAATGACATGCACAAAAAAAACCTTGTTTAAGATCACTAAAGCTCAAATGACTTGTAAATATGAATTACACATCAATAAACAGGACTTGCCCCTAATTACATCGCAACGGGAAACACTAGAATCCAGGGCACAGACACTTTCTGATGAATTGGCTGTTCTTAAACATTGCCACCAGAAAGAAATAAACCAAATGATTCATCAGTTGGAAAGTATTAGAAATGGGAGGAATATGCTGTCCCTGACAAACAGTCATCAAACAAATGAAGAATTTCAAAGCTTGTTCGGAGAACAGTGGCAATGGCTGGAAAAATACTATGAATCTAAAGTGAGAAATCTGCTGAATTGGAATAAGACCAGAGCCGAATCACTTAAACGCACATTGCAAGAAATTGAAAATTTCAGAAAACAGTTGCAACCTCTGCAGGAGCAGGTGACAAAACTAAACACAAGGAGACAATGCTTTGAAGAACAGATGCAATTTATTGAGAGAAAGTGGGCTGAGAACATTCTGCAATATCAGGTAACAAAGCAGAATATTTTAAGAATTGAACTAGGAGAGAGTTAAGCAAAACATTCAAAAAATTCTCAATTTAATTTTAGTTTGATCCTTCTTATTTTAATTTCTATTAAGAGCTATAGGCTATAAATACATGTTCTATTATCATACAGAGGTTGAATCTTGGTGAAAAAAGAGATGCGTTTTGAAAATCAATTCAAATGTGAGAATTCAGACGGTTGGAAAATCGACTCTGGCTGAGTCACTGTTATGGAGAAAGTAAGAGTGCTACAGTTTCTCCAAGCTCTGGGCAGTTTGGTGCACAGATTTAATACCCCATTCCACACTGCTACAAGGGAGCAGATTTGCAAGTGGTATTTTGTGCTAACAGGAGGCTTCCATTGTTCCAAAAAGACATTGCCCCACCCCACATTGAATAACAGAGTTCATGGATTTCAGTGTTAGTTTGACATCAATTACGTTGGGACTAGTATAGATTTAGTAGTACTGACTCAAAGGACAGAAAGGCCTCTACTGTGGTGTCTGATTCTGTATATCTCAGTAATTAGCAACTTCTGTTTCTAGGTTTATATCCCAGACAGGGCTGTTAGTGACAGGTAATAAATGCTGGCCAGCCAGTGACACACATCCCACAAAATGAATACATTTTTAAAAAAATTACAGAACTGAATTCAGATACCGAGGATGAAATTTGAAGCCCTATCACCAGGGCCTAATCCTGGGCCTCTGAATTCTAGTCTAGTGACATTTCTATGACACCACCATCTGCTCCTGCTAGGGTAGGGGAGTGTTAGTCATATTGCGCAAGGAATTCGTGAGACCACACTCGCAGTAATGTATACAGTTTGGTCTCCTTATGTAATAGTGATGTACTAGCATTAGACTTATATATTAGCATCAGAGACCGTTCAGAGAAGGTTCACCAGGCAGATTCGTGGAATGAATGAGAAACTGTTGAGCAGATTTGGTCTGAACTCATTGGCATTCAGAAGCGTAGGAGCTGACCTTATTGAATCATATACGATTCTAAAGGGAATTGACAGAGTAAACATGGAGATGAACTATCTCTCTCTGAGGAGCGTTGTATAATTAATCATACCCCTGCTCACCATGGTGTCTGAGCTCTCTGGACTATTGCTCACTAGAAGGTACTCTCTTTCAGGTTAGGGGTCTACAACAGGACTTGCAGAGTCTGTCATAGGAGAGGAAAACCACAAGATGGTCTATTGAGAACAGGCTCCAATCTTAAACAAAATGTCATTTGTTGCAGGATAGCAACAAGTTACACTGATGTGATGAACATTGTGACAGAGACTAAGTGGGAGATTCAGATTGTGTGTCTTACTGCTTTGGACTAGTTATTGTCCAGCCAAGTCCATATGAACAACATCATAGTGGATGGTGCTTAAGACACTGTTAGAGCTCATAGTTTCCAATGAGAGTCCAAGTTGCAAATGAAAAGCTTCAGAATGTCTTAACTTAGACAGTTTAAACTTAGAGTGAACATGCCCCACCACCCCCCACCTTGTTTGTTATTGGTCAGCAGAGCTGAGATATCCCTTCATAACTGGCTCTCTGCGACGCCATCTTTACACAGTTCAAGCTTGCCTCAGAAATGTACTTGCTCTACACAGTTTAACTGTTGATAGTCTTTAATCCAAAGGAAGTACTGCCGCACCCAGCAATTTCAATGTATTTCCAATTAAGCTAATCATATCACTGAACGACAAAGAGATGGACAGGTTTGTGGTCCACCTCTGGTTCTCCATAGTTTCATGATGTTACCAGACTCTCTTATCTCCCTTCCAGAGGCTTTTCACATGGATACTGTATTCAAGTAACATTTGCCAGCTGTGCTGTGTTAACTGCCAATTAATGGATATTTGCCTATTACTTCAGGACCTTTTAAATTCCTTATTACAGGAAATACAAAACAGTGGTGATTTTGATCAGTTCCAACAAAGTTATGTGGTTACACCAAATGTTAAAATTCTTTAGCTAACAAGTTGTGTCCAAATTGTGTTCATTCAGTCCACATTCCAATGTCTGAAAATTTCTGTACCTATGATTCTTTTCTCTGTGTAATGATATGGGGGGCTGTGTTTACTGTCTGAAACTGGTTTGAATCTTTTCATCTAACGCTGTCAGTAATTTTTTGTATGTAAGTGGATCTATAACTACTTTGGGATCTGTATCTATGATTGTCTGAAGGATTTTAACTAAAACCTACTCTTAATATTGTAAATAATTCACAAGAAATAACTAAGTAGTGTGAAATGTTCTTACCTATGTCTTATGCATAAGGAACTGCAGCTGCATATTCTGTCTCAGTCCAGTAACCTTGAGGCTACAGAGCTACTGTTGTTCTACTTGTGAAAACTACATTAAGCATTTTTCCTAAGCCTTCTAACTACTGTCAGCCATGTTCTGCTACAATAGCCATAGGCAGCCATCGGCCATTTTGAGCTACTCAGTCATGGGCAACCCCAACAGGCACTCCCCAGCATTAATCCTTTCAGCCTCCTACATCGTCATATAATATCTCTCCCAAACCTTTCCCATGATGAATGTTTTGGTTCATAGTACATATATGTTCTATAATATACACATAATGTATATAATTACTTTTACAACAACTCCATCTCCCCAAGTCTCTGACTTCAGAACTAAATGTCTCAAGGTTTCCCTTATCTCTCAGAAGAATTCAACTGGACAACGTTTTACTGCTTAGATTTCTTTCACATAGTGATGGCGTCATCAGCTATACTCCCAATTATAGGAGAAGTGCATGAACTTGTTCAGCTTCTGGTCCAGTATCGAATTTGAAACTATTCTATATCCTTAAAATCTTCTTCAAAAAAATGTTCAACTCTGTGTTCAAATTGGCCCATTTCTGAAATGAAATCTTCCTGGCAATGTTATTACTGACAAAGGCCTAGTAATATTATTAGACTATTAAACCAGAGACCCAGGTAATGTCCTGGAGAATTTGGGTTCAAATCCCACCATGGCAGGTAATGGAATTTGAATTCAATTAAGAATTTGGAGTTAAGGGTCTAACGATGACCTTGAATCCATTGTCAATTGTCAGAAAATCCATCTGGTTCACTAATGTCCTTTAGGGAAGGAAACTGCCATCCTTACCTTGTCTGGCCTACATGTGATTCTAGACCCACAGCAATGTGGTTGACTCTTAACTGCCCTCTGAGCAATTAGGGATGGGCAATGCTCCCATCCTGTTAGTGAATGTTAAAGAAAAAGTCATTCTAACAACTTTCCTGGAACAATTTCTGTTTCCTTGAACGATTTCACTAAATAAATCGCTCCATTTTCAGCTTTAACAACAATTCCCTTTCTAATGACAGTTTCAATAAATTACTCTCAATATTCATGTCTTTATGAGATGAATTCCCTTCCTTTAATCATTTTTTTCCAAATAATTCCTACTGTCTGCAGTTTGAATAATTGCTTTCCACCTTTACCATTGTTTAATTTAATTTTCTTCTTCCATTAGATTTATAATCATAGAATCTTTACAGTGCAGATAGAGGCCATTTAGCCCATTGAGACTACACCAACCCTCTGAAGAGCATTCCCAGATAGACCCACCCTGTCCCTGTAACGCCACCTTTTCCCATGGCTAACCCACCTAGCCTGCATTTACTTGGATACTACAGGACAATTTAGCATAGCCAAACAGCCTAACCTACACATCTTTGGACTGTGGGAGGAAACCAGAGAAAGCCCACACAGACACAGAGAGAACATACAAACTCCACAGAGACTATCACCTGAGAATGGAATCAAACCCAGGGCTTTGGTTCTGTGAGGCAGCAGTGCCAACCACTGAGCCATAACTTTGTCTGCATAGGTTTCTAATCTGCCCCTTTATCAGGCTCATTCTGGCTCTGTGCCATTCTCAGGTCTGAAGCCTCATTTTAAAATGCCTTTGTGCTCTTTGATTTCCCTTACTGTAGAACTGCCTTGTGTTGCCCACTCCCTATGAGCCGGAAGTACATTTCTTCACTTCTCACTATCCCAGCCTGGAAATCTGTCCCCTTGGCCACCAGAGATTTTTACCTCAATCACAGATCCTCTGATGTCCAGATCACCAGCACCCAATGTAATCTAGAACTTCCTGAGAGATCGATAACCAACTCTGGGAAGATCTGAGCTCTTCCTGCTGCAGTGTGTCTCTTGTCAGGTCTGAAATGCTTTTACCACTGACTGTAGAAACTCATAGACCTCATAGAAACCTAGAAAACTCTAACAGGACTAGACAGAGTGAACACAGGAAGAATATTCCCAATGACCCAGGGAGTCCAGAAGCAGAGCTCACTATCTAAAGGCCATTTAGGACTGAGAGGAGAAGAAATTTCTTCACCCACAGAGGGGTGAGTCTGTGGAATTCTCTGCCACAGAAAGCAGTTGAGGCCCAGAACATTGAACATTTTCAAGGAAATATCAGATATGAAGAGAAAGTGGAAATAGGGGCCTGAGTTGGATGATCAGCAATGTTCATATTGAATAGCACAGCAGGTTCAAAGGCCAAAATGGCCTAGTCCTCCTTCAAGTTTCTATGTAAACTTTGTTGAATTTTACCCCAAGTTTCACTTCTGAAGGGCCGGTGAAAGTTTAGCTCTCCCACCTTCTGCGTGACTGAATGTGCAGCTTCTTAAATCGGTGTCTGAAGGTATTACCAGCCCCTCACTGCTCCCACAGTGTAGGAGGCAGTGAAACAGAGCCCACACCAAGTGTCACCATGATGTATGAGCACTCTATATCCTGCTCATGAGAAGGACAATTTGCTGCTACCATTCCCTTTCCTGGTAGGGATCTACAACACAACCTGCTTTGCCTGATGTGGAACAGAGAAACTGCTTGGTAATCAAAGAAGAGGCTGTTGTCTTAACAAGGTGGAGTTTGTTGCAGGATAGCAACAAAAAGTTCACTAATATGACAGACGTTGTGACAGAGACCATGAGAGACCCAGGTGCGTCAGTCTTATTTCTTTCCTGTCCCTGACCAGTGATGAGATCATCATAGTGGGTAATATTAAAGCCACTCTTTGACATTAACTATTTCAGATCCTTAAATAACAAAGGAATCTAGAGCTAGTTTGCAGAATTTCAAAAGGAGACTCCCATTTAAAACAGAAGAAGAGGAATTTGTTCTCTCAGAGCTGTTAGATTGTGGAATTCTCTTCATTAAGAGGAGTGAATATTATCATCAGATATTATCTGACCTCCAAGTGAGTCAAAGGTTATGTAGTGTTTGGGGTCTAAGTGGGGAGGAATTACTGGCTGCAAGGTGCACAGAACAGTGGAGATGAGACCATCACTTTCTGGAATGCTAGAGCAGGCTCAAGGAGCCCAATGACCTAATTGTGCTCCCATTGTTTGTGTTTTGAGATTAGAAAACTTCCAAGTTCATGTTCAGGTCTACTTTGATTAATGTTTGTCATCCTTGTTGATCTCAGAGTTCCTCAATGAGGGAGAAGCAAAACAACAAAAGTCTAGACCTCCCACTCTTGTTGACTATTACATGATCCCAGCCAGGAATTGGCAAGTTGAATATCAGAAAAGAACAGAAGTAGGTTCAACCCTTAGCACAAAATACCTTCCTTCAGGCTAGAAAAGCAATCACTTTGACCAGACCCTGAAACATCACTACTATCCTCATATCTTCCTGACTGACTGTGATTGAGATATTAGCCTCAGCCTGATGAGAGACCTTCAGGACAGAAAGTATGAGGAATGAGCAAAACTTCTTATAGAAATAAGCAGACCCCAGTGAAAACAATCTCTCTACAAAACCTTGAATTTATTACAATCATTAAATTAATTAAAGGTTATAATTACTGATTATACAAAGATGTTCTTGCTATTGTAGAAAAAAAAATACAAGATGGAGCTTGTCCCAATTCAAACAAGGCTTTAACCTCAAACTAAATTTTAACCCAAAACATGGGAAGGGTGTGGGTGTTAGTGGCAATGGGGTGGGATGGTGGGGATGGGGGTGTGATGGGGCTCTAAGTTGGGGCTGGAGTTGATGGTGGTGAGGAACAGTGGCGGAGGGGGTTTGGGATAGTGGTGTTGAAGATAGTGAGAGGGTAAAGGGGCGCAATGGGCTACTGGGGGGTATAAAATGTTTAAAATTCTTCTTCAAATCTGTTTATTTCTGAAGGTGAGAAATTACCAATCAGCTCCAAGAAGGTGGCTTGCAGCATCCGAGATGATAATGAGGCTGTAAGCTTCATTTGTATAGAACCACAGAATTTACGGTACAGAGGATTAATCATTTGTATTATTATTCCAATTTTAGAATTTCACTTTTAACCATAGATTGGAAATTCTGACAGCTTTCCCCAAGGAGGGGGCTTGGTGGATTGAGCTGGTCGATGGCTTCCCTCCGTTTCCTGGATCCAGGGAACTTCTGGGTTTGAGGAAATGGCCCACACCCCTGAAAGCTTTCTATTGTAACCCATCTGTTAGGCTCAAATCCACCATCCTGCACCAAAGCACCTTCCTGACCAACCCCTGGGATCCCAATGGATTGCCGATCCAATCAACATTCCATGCCCCTTGCAATCGACCTGAACCGTGCAGTTGTCCATAGCTTTTATTGTCGATTCTTTCACTGAGAACGGGAATCACTAACAGGATGATCATTGACCATCTCCAATCGTCTTTGAACTGAGAGTCTCACTTACCCACACCACTGTCAATCTAGACTCACATAGAGACCAGATTGGGTAAGCACAGCAGCAAGTCATTTGGATTTTGATAAACAATAGTTTCATAGTCACTATTACTGAGAATAAAGACAAAATACTGTGGATGTTGGAAATCTGAAACTAACACAATGTTAGAGAAACTCAGCCAGTCTGGCAGCATCCGTGGAGCAAAAAACAAAGTTAATGTTTTGAATCTGGTATGACTCTTCTTCAGAGCATAATATCCTACAAAGTTTGACAGGTGTGGTGAGGGGGGAATGGCTTCATTCTGAACACAACACCAAGAGAGATCGAGTGTGTAAAATATCCAAGGGTGATGTCACAGAGAATGCCTAGGTTTATTGGTTGGTGAGAAATTGTTGTCGGGAATCGAGGTCAAATTATCTGAAGCTAAAAGTTTATAACAAAGAAGCAACTACTTGGATTTCAGAAAGGAACACTAGCAAAAGGGAAGTAAAAGTTAAATTAAATCAAATCAAATTAAAATAATGAAATAAAATGGAAGGAGATTTAGAGTTAAATTGAGGCAAGCAGAATTAAGTTAATGGTAGGTTTTTATGGGAAGTTTATATTTATTTTAAGGGTAAGAAATAGTTCTCAGCATCACTGGGATGGCAGATCAGTGGAGCATACATGGTGCAGAGTGTGTGAAGTCATGGACACACCATGTATCCCAGACAAACACCTACAGGAACAGCGACCAGCTGCAGTGGCTGGAGTCTCTATGGCATCTCCAGGAGATACAGGACTGTGGTCACACCACAGATTAGAATCTTACAGGCAGAGAGAGAATGGGAGACAACCAGGCAGGTAGTGCAGGAGTCCCCTGGGTCTACCATGCTTGCTAATTCCATTTGGAAACTGGAAGACTGATGGTGAGCGCAGCCAAAGACAAATCCATGGCACCAAGGAATGGAAGGGTAATAGTGTACGGGGATTTCACAGTCAGGAGATCAGACAGACACTTCAGACAACATGAAAACACAACCCCAGGATGGTGTGCTGCCTCCCGGTTACTGGGGCCAAGGCCGTCACAGAGTAGCTGCAGGAAATCCTGCTAAAGGGAGTGATCCACATTGGTGCCAACATCAGTAGAAAGAGGGAGAAGGTCCTGAAAGCAGATTTCAGAGACACAGGAAAAAAATTGAAAGGCAAGATCCCAAGAGCAGCAACCTTAGGATTATTCCTAGACAAGAAGGAAAAGGAGGTGGAGTTAGATCAATAATCTAAGATGGGATCAGTACATCAGTAAAGGAGGATCTTCAGTCTGGAGGATATGAGGAGTCTGTTTGGCAGGAATTAAGAAAAAGCAAAAGGACAGCAGACATTGTTGGGGTAATTTCAAGGCTACTAATTAGTAGTGATTGAAGGAGACAAGATATTAATCAGGAGATGAGAGAAACTTGTAGCATACACAACAGTCACCATGGGTTCAATTTGCATATAGGTTGGGTAAACTAATTGGGACTGGAAAGTATATTAAAAGGTTGTACATAAGTAATGGATGGTCTTTCAAAAACCATTACATGGCTTACAGCAATTGTCCATTCCTTCAATGTGCAAGACTCAATCACTGCAAAAATGGCACCAAAAACCTAAATGGATAGACTGTGTAGACACATGGAAGATGTTTCCCCTGCTTGGGGACTCTAGAACCGGGGGCCAAATTTTAAATATCAAGGGGATGACATTTAGGACCAAGGTGAGTTTTTTTTTTAAAGCAGAGGGTTGTGAATCTCAGTCCTTGAATATGTCTATAAGTAAAGGTTAATAAATTTTTGATTGTCAATGGTGTAAAGGGTCATGGGAGTAATATGAGTAAAAGGCATTGAAGAGTTTGATCAGCCATGATCATATTGAATGGCAGAGCAGGCTCGATTGGCCTACTCCTGTTCCTAAAGCAGCTCAATTTGTTTTACTACACCATGACTGTGGAGGTCAAACTTCTGTATTGCATACTTCTGCAGCATTATTGTCTTAATATGCATAATATTCTTCAAATGCTTTAAAGTATCACATAAGATGGAGATTTATCATTTTAACAGGAACAAAAAAGGCAGCTGCAAGAAAAAGTCAATCTCTTGAAAACTGAACTTGATGTGCAGAAGCAAAAGAACAACAACATTAAACACTTGAAAGAGAGTCTCTCTGAGGAATTATTTGTTTACAAGTAAGTGTTAGATCCACATTTAAAACAAGCTGCAGTTTGAAAATCATGTCAGTTTGAAAAGCAATGTTTTGAAAGGCTTTTGCCATGAAATAAAATAATTGAATATTTAAAGGTGGGTTTAATAGATTGTTGACAAAAACAGGAATCAAAGGTTGTACGAAGTAGGCAAAAAAGAAGAGTTGATGCTGTAATCACAATGGTCACAAACTTATTGAATGGCAGAATAAGCTCAAGGGACTGAAATGGCCTCTTCCTGTTACTAATTCATCCATTTGTGTGAAAAAGATTTCATCTAGATGGTGCTTCCCAAAACTTATACCGGGAATAAAAATATATAATACCATTCCATTTTCACAACAATGACATGAAGCAAATGGAATTTTCTATCAGTAATGAGAGTCTAAACAATTAAATAATGCTATTTCCTCATCCCATCTATTCTTAATTCCTTGCCTGATTTATTTAAATTAAACTCACTCCTTTCAATAGGTATTTTCTGAATTTACAAAAACATAGGTTAACATTATTAGGCTAATTAAGCAAAGTGAATCAAGCAGGTCGTGCAGGAATCCCTTGGGACCCAATCACAAATGGGTTTTCTGCATTGGAAGCCAATGACGGTTTTTGAGGGAATGCAGACAGAGCCTGACTGTGTAGGAGGGGAGGAATAAGGAAGCACAAACAATAGTGACAGGGGCTTCATCAAGTTAGGGGAACAGACAGGTGTTTCTGTGGCCACAGACACGACTCCGGGGTCAAAGTGCACATTGGTACCAATGATACGGATAGAATGAAGGATGAGCTCTTGCATCATGAACTCAGGGATCTAGACAGTAGACTAAAGAGCAGAACTATAAAGGTTGTAATCTCGGCATTACAAGGGATGTGCTAGGGAGTACAAAAATAGAAGAACAGGGCAGATGAATACCTGGCACAAGAGTTGGTACAGGTGGGAAGCTTTTAGATTCTGGGATCACTGGGACTGTTTCTGGGGAAGGTGGGACCTCGATATGACTGCAGGGTGACCAGGAGTGAGAACTGAACATCCAGGAGTACTCAGTGTTTAGTAAGCACAGAAAGAAAGGAAAAAGCAGTGGAGTTGCATAACTAATTAAAGAAGATGCAAATACAAAATTGAGGAGAGATATTAGCTCAGACAATGTAAAAGCTGTGTGAGTAGAGTTGAGAAATACCAAGGGCTAAAAATCATTAGTAGGGATTGTTTGTAGACCACCAGACTCTAGCGGTGATGTTGGGAATCACAAATAACAGGAAATTGGTAAAGGAAAACCTGTAATTACAAGTGATTTTAATCTGCATATACGCTGGGTGAATCAATTTAGTCACAATACCATAGAGGAGGAATTCCTAGAGTGTATACGGGATCATTTCCTGGACCAAAACGATGAGGAACCAACTGGCGAACAGGCCACCTTAGACTGGGTATTATGCAATGAGAAAGGAATAATTAGTAAAGTAGTTGTGAGAGATTCCTTGGGGATGAGTGACTGTAATATAACAGAATTCTTTCTCAAGATGGAGAATGAGGTAGCTCATTCTGAGACTAGGATCCTGAATCTTAATCAAGGAAACTACAAAAGTATGAGGTGTGATTTGCCTATGCTGGACTGGGAAATGTTACTGAAAGGAATGACAGTGTATAAGGCAATGACAAGCATTCAAAGAGTGAATGGATGAATTACAAAAACTGTTTACTCCTGACTGGTGTAAGAGTGCAAAGAAAACAGGCACCAAACCATGGCTTTTGAGGGAAGTTAGAGATAGAATTAGATGCAAAAAAGAGATGTACAAATTGGCAAGAGAAAGCAATAAATCTGAGGATTGGCAACAGTTTAGAAGTCAGCAAAGGAGGACTAATGGATTGATTAATAAGGGGAAAATAGAGTGTAGTAATCTTATGGGGAATCTAAGAATTGACTCTAAAAGTTTCTATAGGTATGTAAAGAGAAAAAGGTTGCTGAAAACTAATGCAGGTTCTTTACAGTTAGATTCAGGGAACTTATAATGGGGAACAAAGAAATGGCTTACGAACTAAATTCATACTTCTGCTTTCACAAAGAAGAACATGAATAATGCCCCAGAAATGATGGGAAACACAAGGTTTGGTGACAGGGAGGAACTAAAACAATCTTCATGAGTAGAGAAGTTGTGTGAAGAAATTGATGGGATTGAAGGCTGATAAATCCACAGGCCCTGATAATCTACATCTCAGAGTACTTAAGGAAGTGGCTGTAGAAATAATGGATGCATTGGTGGTCATCTTCCAAGTTTCTTTAGATCTTGGAATAGTTCCTACGGATTGAAGGATAGTTAATGTAATCCCACTAATTAAAAAGGGAGTCAGAGAGAAACAGGGAATTATAGACTGTGTCAGAGATAGTAGGAACTGCAGATGCTGGAGAATCCGAGACAACAAGGTGCAGGGCTGGATGAACACAGCAGGCCAAGCAGCATCATAGGAGCAGAAAGGCTGATAGACTGTGTGTCTGACATTGGTAATGGGAAAGATGCTAGAGTCCATTATCATGGATTTTATAGCAGAGCACTTAGTAAACAGTAGTAGAAACAGGCACAATCTACATGGATTTACAAAACAGAAATCATACTTGACAAATTTACTGGAATTCTTCAAGGATGTAACTACTATAGTTGATCAAGGGGAGCCAATGGACATGTTTACTTGGACTTTCAGAAGGCTTTCAACAGACTCCCACACAAAAGATTAATGTGAACGACTAAAGTGCATGTGATTGGGGGTAGTGTATTGAAATGGCAGGAAACAAAGAGTAGGAATAAAAGGGTCTTTTTCCAAATGGCAGGCAGTGGCTAGTGGGCTTTCGCATGGAATAGTGCTTAGACCCCAGCTATTAACAACATGTAATAATGATTTAGATGATGTTACCAAAGGTAAAATCTCCTAATTTGTAGATGACAATAAAGGTGGGTGGAAGGGTGAGCTGTGGGGAGGATTCAGTGTGATTTGAGGCTGAGTGAGTGGGCAAATTCATGGCAGGTGCAGTATGACGTGGATAAATGTGAGGTTATCCATTTTGGTAGCAAAAACAGGAAGGCAGATTAATACTTGAATGGCTATAAATTGAGAGAGGTGAATGTTCAATGAGACCTGAGTGTTCTTGTGCTACAGTTGCTGAAACTAAGCACACAGTAGCAGCTAGCAGTATGCTGGCCTTCATAATGAGAGGATTCAAGTACAGGAACAAGGATATCTTACTGCAGTTATACAGGACATTGATGAGACCACACTCAGAATATTGTTTGCAGTTTTGGTCTCCTTAGCTAAGAAAGGATGCTCTTGCCATACAGAGAGTGCAGCCAAGATTTACCAAATTGATTCCTGGGATGACAGGACAGATGCACAAGGAGAGATGGAGTTGGTCGCAATTGTATTCACCAGAATTTAGAATAATTGGGTGGATCTCAAAGAAACCTATAAAATTCTAATAGGACTAGACAAGTGAGATGCAGGAAGGACATTCCTGTTAGGGGTAGGGGGAGGAGTCCAGAACCAGGATCAGAGTTTAAGCATAAGGGTAAATCTTTTAGGACTGGGGTGAAGAGAAATCTCTTCACCCACAGAATGATGAGCCTGTGGACTTCACTACCATGGAAAGTTTCACTCTCACAGAAAGTGGCTGAGGCCAAAACATGTGTTTTCAAGAAGGAGGTAGATATAGGCCTTGTGGCTCAGAGATATGTGGAGAGGACAGGGTTAAGGTATTGAGCTCAATGATCAGCTGTGATCATATAAATGGCGGAACAGTCTCAAGGGGCTGAATGGCCTATTCATAACCTCTTGGGTACAGGGACTTCAGGCAGGACAGAGGAGGGTGTGAAAGAGGAAGCGGTGTTGCATTATCAATTAAGTCGTCAGTTACTGCAGTGAGGAAGGATAATATCTTGAAAGCATCGTCCAATGGGGCTTTGTGGGTGGAGCTTAGGCAGTCACATTGTTAAGAGTGTATTGTAGGTCCCCATACAGTCAGCAGACAATTGAGGAGCAGATATGTAGTCAATTCACTAAGGTACGTACAAACAAAAATAGGGTGATAATCAAAGTATGAAGAGTTTAGAAGGAGCAGATTTTTTTGTAATGTACGTAGGGGAGCTTTTGACGTCAACATATAGATGGCCCTACGAGGGACAGTACAGTGTTGGACTGGATTCTGGGGTATGAAACTGGACAGGTGTTTGAGGTGACAGTGGAAGAACATCTTAGTGGTAGTGACCACAACACCATACGCTTTACATTTGTTATGGAAATAAGAAAGATGATCAGCTAAAAAAGGCTTTGGATTGGGGTTGGCAGATTTTATTAAAATAAAGTAGGACGTGACCAAAATAGACTGTGAACAGCTACTTGTGGTTAAATCCACAGCAGAACAGTGAGGCATTCAAATATGCACTGGGAGGAATACAGGTGCAACATGTTCCCTTTAGAATGAAATGGAGGAGCAACAAGCCCAAAGAACCCTGGACGTGTAGAAATATTCATGGCAGAATAAAAAGGAAAAGAGACAGAGCTAGTACAAAGAAGGAACTAAAGCAGTACGCAAAGTATAGGGGAGTTCAAGAAAGCAATTTAGAGGAGAGGGGTGTGAAAAAACACCAGTGGACAAGATTAGGCAGAATCCCAGGAAATTCTACAAGTATATCAAGGGGAAAGAGAGTTACCCGGGAAAGAGAAGGACCTATTAGGGACCCAGGGGACAATCTATGTGTGAAGCCAAAGAACATTGGCAGAAACTTAAATGAGTACTAAATATCTTAATCAGGAGGAGGTGGATGAAAGTACAGAATTCGAGAAGATAGACTATGAAATTGTTGAGCAATTGGTATAAGCAATGAGAAGGTATTGGAGAACAAAAACCAAAAGAACTGCGGGTGCTGTAAATCAGGAACAAAAACAAAGTTGCTGGAAAAGCTCAGCAGGTCTGGCAGCATCTGTGGAGGAGAAAACAGTTAACGTTTTGGGTCCGGTGAGGTTTCGGGTTCTGAGGAAGGGTTACCAGACCCGAGAAAGTACTGGGAGGTTTTGGTGGATTTAAAAGGGGACATGTGACCAGGTCCAGAAAAGATGTAACCCAGGCTGTTGTGGGAGATAGGGGAGGAAATATAGGGGTCCGACCCAAATTTTTAATCATGTATGGCCACAGGGGAAGTGCCAGAGGACTGCAAATGTAGTTCCACTTTACAAGAAGGATGGTAGAGATAGACCAGGGAACCTTCAACCAGTGAGTCTAACATCAGTGGGAGGAAAACTGTTGGAGAAAATAGTAAAGGAAAAAATTAATGTCCATTTAGAGAAGTAAAGTTTGATCAAGGATAGTCAGCATGGCTTTCTCAGAGGGAGGTCATATCTAACATTTCTAGTTGAGTTTTTTGACTAGGTGACCAAGTCTGTAATTGAAGGTAGGGCAGTTGATTCAATTTACCTTGATTTCAGCAAGGCCGTAGACATGGTCCCACATGGGAAACTGATAAAGGTAAAAGCCCATGGAATCCAGGGTAACTCAGCAAGTAGGATCCTAAAATTAGATAATGGTAGGAGATAGAAGGTGGTGGTAAAAGGCACCAGAATATTTTTGGTGATACAGATTTAATGGGCTCAAGGGCCTCTTCTACATTGTATGATTCTATGAATCTATGATTCGTAACACAAAATCTGACTTCTAATGAAAGAAGCCATGTTAATGATATTCCTCTCTAACTAATTCACAAAAAGCCCCAGAAACAGGAAACTCCAGATTCAAACAACATTTCTTCTGGTTTTCAACCATGTTGGAGAGATGTGTTGGAAGTCTGGTCAGATGATCTAGAAAGAACAAGTCTGTCTTGGGGCTCCAGTCATGTTAAAAGTTGCAAAATAAAAATTAAAACAGTTCTTGTTCCTCCTGTTCTCATCCCTACACTCTCCATGCCCCATCCTTGCCAACCATGCCCCTGTATCCACACATCATGTCTCCTACCATGTCACTGTACCAGTCTCCCACAGCACCCCCTCATTCCAATATACTCCAACTCATGGCAGAGGGGAGGTGATGGCTTACTGGTATGATTGCTGGTTTCAACTAACAGGTGGAATTAACCCAGGCAATGTTCCTGGGACCTGTGCCACAGCAGATGGTGGAATTTGAATTCAATAAAAATCTGGAATTGGGAGTCTAATAATGATCATGAATCCATTGTTGATTGTCAGAAAAACCCATCTGATTCGCTAATGTCCTTTAGGGAAGGGAACTTCCATCCTTACCTGGTCTGGCTTACATGTGACTCCAGACCCACAGCAATGTGGTTGACCCTTAACTACCCACTGGGCAATTAGGTTTGCATTAAATGCCTTTATTCTGTGAATACATTTATTAAAATCATCTGCATACCCCTTTACAGCTGCTGTGCCAACTTAGTGCCAACTCATACATCCCCACCAACCCCTTTGCCATTCCATCTCCATGTAACTCACCTGTTACAGCATGGGCTGTAATCAGAAGGCACCCTGACAGGAAATAAAGTTAGCAGTCTATTGATAATGGCACTGTTGAAAAACGTACTCAAGAAGTTTGTTCAACTCATCCTTGATGGAAGCAAATATTTCAGTTTAGTGCTAAATTGCTGTGTCAGAAAACTTCTGTTCAATAAGTAGTTGGAGCTATTTATCAAATTTGCCAATTGTCATTGTGATAATGACAATTTGGAAAATCACTCATAAGAGCACAAGTCTACAATGGAATCATCATGTGAACAGAAGATCTGCAATGGCTAACACTTTCTTTACTCCACTTTATTTATTGGACACCTTCTTGGTTTCTTTGCCAGTCCCAATGAGTCTTTTGTACTTTTAATACACAGGCATGCCTCTTCATGACCCCAAAGGGCACCTTACTTCCATCCATCAAAGGAGGCCCTGGACAACATCCCAAAAGATGTATGAACCACTCCTACAATCTTGACCTCCCATCCCAACAAACAGCCAAACCATGCACCTAATTCCTTTACTCATTCCTCCATGGCCATTCATACCTCATGCCAAATTAATGCCAACTTACACCCTTCACTCTTACGCCATTCACCTACCCTGCCAACTCACTGAGTATCCACAAGTACTCATGCACAAAGGAGAGACGTGTTTCTATTCCTGAATTTTCTATATAGTAGCCTACATTGCATTGAGGAAAGCACTCTAATTCATACATGTTTTGGCACTTATCACTTTTTGACATGTCTTGAACAAGTTGGACAGTTCTGTGGGGTTAATCAATTTTTATGTATAAGCCCCTGCAAAAGTAACTACTTTTAAAGTGCAACAATCCTTCCCACAATCCTTGGTTTTAACAGACTCCTTTACCCTTCCAGTCCACAATCAAAACTACAGAAAAATAAAGACACGGTCCTTTCAAATGCAGTTGTGATCTCATTCTTTTCTAGTTTCCTTGAGAAGGTTGAAGGAAGGAATTCACTAAAGATAATTCAGTTCTACTTTCTATTTGAAAAGTTTCTTGACAATGTGTTTTCCTTTGCAGGGAAAGTTTAACAGCATTTGGAACTCTTACTGAATCTTCAATCAAGTCGGATTAAAGAATTCAAAATAATCAGAATTTAAGAAAGTTCTTTAAATACTAGTCACATGCATTTTTCCAATTAAGTCAGTCAAGGGACTTGCTTAGACTTTATTTCAAAAGAGTATCTCTTACTTATATACAAGTGAGTTCTCATAACATCTTTACTCATCTAACATCCCACACGGTCCCATTAAATGGGAGAACAGATTGAGAGGCTGAATGGCCCACTCCTAGCCTGTTTTCCTTGTACTTCACAGCATTTTAAAACAAAATGAGACTCAAGGGCAACGAGGGACAGGCACTAAATGCTGGACAGCAGGGATGCCCACATCTCACAAGAGAATAAAAAAACTCAGCCACAAAAGATGACGCAAGGTCACCACATCAAAAGGCTACCATAAAAGGGATATAAATGTAAAATACAATTGATTTTCAATTCTTAAGCATGAGACAGTAAGGCATTGTTTATTCCTTTCTAGAATTAGAATTAGGTTTTATTGTCACATGTATTCAAGTACAGAAGTACAGGAGAACAGTGAAAAATGTATAAAGTCACCATTTTAGGTACAAAAACCCGAATTCTTAGAAAACAACCGTTTTAGATGCAAAAACCAAAACAAACATCTAAGAAACAAAAAGCAGAATTTTAAAAAAACCAAAAAGCAGAAATACAACAAGAAAGAGCCAAGAAGGAAGGGTGAAGCGTCCAGATCTAAAAGTCTTCTCTATAACTAGGCCTCCTTCCTCAAAGCCTTGAGTCTCAGTGCTGCTGCCAATGCAGACCCTCGGAACTCGCTCCCACTGCCACCACAGGCACTTGGAAGTCAATCCCACTGCTGCCATTGACCCTCAGAACTCATTCCCTATGTTGCCTCCCCACCTGATGCCAACTCCTAATTTCTTCCAAGTAGGCTTTCATGATAAAAGATTGTATTGTAACATAGCAGAAACTGTTTTTGATAACAATATGGTTTGAGAAATAAAAGTGAATTATATAGTGAAATGTGTATTAGGGTCACCTGTGGCACTTGCCTCATTCAGTGACTCCTGTCCCTGACTGAGGTAGCTGGATGAGTGTTTCCCAGGCCCTGGGATTTTTCCAACATGGAATCAAAGATGGATTTATTAATGAAACATTTGAAATATGGGGGAATTACTCTTCTACTCCATCATACATACAAGTTCCCAGGAGATTAAAGACGACAGGATAGCAGATAGGCCAGAAATTACACATTTTGGTAAATCCTCAGGTGTTTTAAACAATCAGTTGATGTGAATTATAACTTCATCAAGGTCAGTATGTAATAACAGCTTTCTTGGTGAGCTGGACTTTGTCATCTTTGTGGTCAGTTGGCTTGCCGAGCTGGTTTGTTGTTCCGCAGACGTTTCATTACCCTGCTGGGTAACATCATCAGTGCAGCCTCCGATGAAGCGCCATTGTGTTTTCCCGCCTGTTATTTAAACTCTGGTGTCCATTGAGCTGGATTATCTCACTTCCGGTTTTCCTTCACAATGGAATGTATAAGGGGTCTAGCTCTATGTGTTTGTTGATGGATTTCTTCATGGAGAACCAGGCCTCTAGGAATTCCCGCTCTGCTTCACCTGTCCCAGGATCCTGTTGTCCCAATTGAACCGGTTGTTTTCCTTATCCATATGGATGGAAACGAGGGAGTATTGGTCATGTCTATTTGTTGCCAGTTGATGTTCGCGTACTCTTGTGGTTAAGTTCCTTCTTGTCTGTCCAATGTAATGTTTGTCGCAGTCTTTGCAGGGAATCTTGTATACGACATTGGTCCTGTCCACTATGGGTAGCGGGCCTTTGGTTCAGGTTAGCAGTTGGCGAAGGGTTGATGTGGGTTTGTGTGCTACTCTGATGCCCAGTGGTCGTAGGAGTCTTGTGGTCAATTCAGATGTGTTCTTGACGTAAGGTAGCGGGATGTGTGTGTCAGGGCATGCAGTATCTTCCTGGTGTTATTAGTATACCCAGTTTTTCCGGTATCCGTTGTCTTTGAATACTTGGAAGAGGTACTCTTCTTCTTTTTGGCGCAGTTCTGTGTTGTTGCCCGTTTAAATAGAGTTTTCATGCAACTTCGTTTGTGTGTTAGGGTGATTGTTATTGAAATTTAGTGCTTGGTCAGTGTGTGTGGCTTTCCTGTGTACCTTTGTTAGGAATTCCGCATTGGTCCTGCATTCTACCATGACGTCCAGAAACGGGAGCTGTTTGTTCTTTTCCTCTTCTCTGGTGAATCTGATCCCGGTGAGGGTGTTGTTTATTAGTTCATGTGTCTCCTCTAGTTTGGTCCGTTTAATAGTGATTGAAGGTGTTGTCCACGTGGCGTATCGGTTGGATTAGCGGAAGGGCTATGCTTTCAAGTCTCTGCTTCACTGCTTTTGCTATTAGTCTGGAGATAGCTGACCCCATGGGTGTCTCTTTGGTCTGTTTGTAGATTTGGCCATTGAAGGTAAAGTGGGTCGTGAGGCATAGATCCAATAGTTTCAGCATGTTGTCTGTCGGGGTGGTGTCACTGGGATCATGTTCTTGTTTTGTAGTGTGCCAATGTTTCTCTTGCTAGTGGTATGTCTATTGGTGTGAATAGGGCAGTAACATCAAATGATACCATGGTCTCCTCGTCGTCTATTCTTGTCCTTGATGGAATTGAGGAACTCCTGGGCTGAGTGGATTGAGTGGGGTGACTTGTTAACGAGGTGCTTTAGTCTCCTTTGTAGCTCCTTGGCTAATCTATGTGATAGTCTCCCTACCAGGCACGCTATGGGTCTGAGGGGTACTTCCAGTTTGTGCACCTTCGGGAGGCCAGAGAATCGGGGTGTGTTAGTTCCTTCTGATTTCATTCTTAAGAAGTCTGTTTTGTTGATTTGTCCGGTCTGTTTGAGTCTCTTTAGTGTGTCGAGTATCTTGTTGCCTGGTTGTGGTGTCGGGTCTATCTCCACTTGCCGCTATGTGTTCTTGTTGGCTAGTAGTGTCTGTGCTTTGGAGAGGTTGTCTTGTTTGTTGTGAATCGTCTGTGGAACAACGAACTAGCTCGGCGAGCCAACCAACCACAACATCCACAACCCGAGCTACAAATCTACTCAAAAACCTTTGTCATCTTTCTTTGTGCAACATGCAGGCCTCTTTCCATCCAGTAATTTGAAATCAAAAGTAAAGGGTGCAAGTCAGGATACCAACTCAGCGTAGAGTCCTGCTTTCCCTATGGAATCAAACAGCAACCAAGATAAAGTCCCAGATTTCTATATTTAAACAATTCAACAAACTCAGATGTCATCATGTGACAAAGACAGGCATTTCAGGGGCTGAGGAACCACCTTGGTGAGCAAATTATAAAAAGTCATTAAGTATCAGTTTACCTCCCCAGATTTCCATTGCAGGTGAAGAGGTACTACAAATCACTAGCACCTACTTCAATATAATGGGTTTTGAAGCTTTCCTTCATCCAGAGTAGACAAAGATCTTGAATTAGTAGGAACTGCCGATGCTGGAGAATCTGAGATAACAAGGTGTAGAGCTGGATGAACACAGCAGGCCAGGCAGCATCAGAGGAGCAGGAAAGCTGAAAATTTTCTGAAGAAGGGTCCAGAGCCAAAACGTCAGCTTTCCTGCTTCTCTGATGCTGCCTGGTGTGCTCTATTCATCCAGCTCTACACCTTGTTATCTTAGACAAAGACCTTTGTATAAGGTTTCGAAGGAACATCTACACAATGCAGGAGCTCAGAAGCTTCTGGAAATTTGATCATATAATTGCCTCGGCTGCTTTAGGAGTCCAGCAAAGGTTGTCCATTTTTAACACAAACAGAAATATAGAACAAAGTTTTCTTTGGAATTTCTCTTCATGTCCTCAGTCCATTACACTTTCCACAGGCTAAAGAACTAGTAGAGGAAAAAAGTGGAAGAGCTGGAGATGTATAGACTTTTACTAACTTGTTTTCTTTCAGATTGAAATAAAAAACATTTTTTAAAAACATTCATTTGCAACATAGCTGAATATAAAAACAGAGTAGGAGGCATTTTTGACTTACCAGCAAATTCATCCCTCAGAGAGTACATTGCCTTATGAAGGTATTGATTTTGATTATTTTGTTTATAGAAGATTAAGGACAAATCTAATGCAGGTATTTGACCTGATTAATTTGACCTGACAATTTCGATAAAACAAATTAATGGTCACTGGCAAAGAGAATTCAGGATACAGTGGCATAACCTTAAACAATTCGGTTATTTCGTGAGAAATGTCAGAACACACTGATGACAAAGTTTAGTGAAAAATCAGGTACACACTCCCAAAAGCTGTTCTGGTGAAGTTGATTGAAAATGCCAAGACTGAAATTGAAGCATCTTAGGCAGGCAGGCCTAATGAGGTAGTAGATGGAATTAATATATGGATTAGTTTAGAATCAGGTGGATATTTTTTACAGTGAATCTGCAGGAGGTACAAGAGCCTAATATGATTTGCTTCTAATCAATACAAATTCCCATCTGAATATGATGTTAACATTTCAATTGACTTAATTTGGTTTAGCTATAATCAACATTAAATATCCTGCACAACCATTTAGTCCAGATATTGAAATAAGTTTCTGTACCAAACAACAAAGAATCTAAGACTGATCCCTGTGGAACACCACTAATTAGCAGTCTCCATTCTGAAAAAGACACCCTTCCACCACTACCCTCTCTCTTCTATGACTGAGCCCGTTTTGTATCCATCTAGCCAGCCCACCCTGAATCCCATTTGATTTTAGTTTTTGTACCAATCTGCCATCTGGGACTTTATCAAATGCCTTACTAAAGTCCAAATAAACTACATCCACAGTTTTTCCCTCATTAATTATCTTTGAATTTTTTTGAAGAGGTGACAATCAGGTTGGTGAGACATGACCTCCCCTGTACAAAATCATGCTACCTGTTGCAAACTAGTCCATTTTCTTCCACATGTGCATATATCCAGCTCCTCGGTATCTTCTCCAAGAACTTCCCCACCACAGATGTCAGACTCACCT